TTTTTTTTTTTTTTTTAAAGCCATTTTTTAATTTATTTTACATATAGCCAGGGTCTTGCTATGTTGTCCAGGCTGGTCTTGGGACAGTTTGAAGTAGTGGCAGTTTCTTCTTCACGTTTGATCTAAATGGGCCTCCCAGGGAATCCCATGCCATGACCAGGTTCTATCCTTGTTATCATGAAATTATTTCAGTACATTGAATCTCAAAGCACATTCCCTGGGACACTAGTCTCCCCCAAATCCAAGCCTCCAAGTTATATTGATCCCACCTCCAAAATGCCTCTTGAACCCATCCTCCTGCCTCAGCCATCCTCCTGCCTCAGCCTCCCAAAGTGCTAAGATTATAGGCTTGAGCCACTGTACCCAGCTGTCCTCATTCTTAAGAGATAAACTGATCAGGCATGGTGGCTCATGCCTGTAATCCTGGCACTTTGGCAGGCTAAGGCAGGAAGATTGCCTAAACCCAGGAATTTGAAACCAGCCTGGGCAACATAATGAGGCCCTATTTCTACAAAAAATACAAAAATTAGCTGGGCGAGGTAGCATGTACCTGTAGTTCCAACTACTTGGGAGGCTGAGGCAGGAGGACCATTTGAGCCCAGGAGTTTGAGACTGCACTCTAGCCCAAGCAAGAGAAGGAGACCCTGTCCCAAAAGAAAAAGAAATAAACAAGGCCGGGTGTAGTGGCTCACACCTATAATCCTAACACTCTGGGAAGCCGAGGCAGGAGGATGGCTTGAGCACAGGGGTTTGAGACCAGCCTGAGCCAAGAGCGAGACCCTATCTCTACTAAAAATGAAAAAAAATTAGCCAGGCGCCATGGAGTGTGCCTATAGTCCCAGCTATTTGGGAGGCTGAGGCAGGAGGATCTCTTGAGCCCAGGAGTTTGAGGTTGCAGTGAGCTATGAAGCCACTGCACTCTAGCAGGGTCAACGGAGTGAGACTCTGTCTCCAAAAAAAAAAAAAAAAGAAAGAAAGAAACACGCTCAAGTATTTAGGCTTAAAGGGGCACGAGTCGAAGACTCTCAAATGATTAAAAAAAATATATGTATATATGACAGAGAATGATAAAGCAAATGTAGCAAAATGATAACAACTGGTGAATCTGAGTCAGGTTATTCACCGAATAGAGCTTCAAAATATATGAAGACAAAATACATGGGACAAAAACTGGCATAACTAGAAGGAGAAATAAACAAATCTGAAATTATAGAAGAAAAACTGCAACACTCCTCATCAATCAATAAAAAAGTACACAGAAAAATCAATCTAAGACCTATAAAACATTGTCAGCCAACTTGACCTGATATGTAGATCACTACACTTAACAATAGTAACATTCACATTCTTTTCCAGTACACATAGAACATCATCCAAATAGACGATACTCTAGGTCTGTGGTCCCCAAACACCCTCCCTCCCCACATGGCCTATCAGGAACCTGGCCACACAGCAGGAGGTGGGCTGCAGACAGGGGAGCAATCCACGGAAGCATCATCTTTACACAGAGATCATAACAAATCAATTGCTTGCAGACTCA